CACGACTCCCATCGTACGCTTGTATGTTTCCCAGGGCAGTGGTGTATCCTGGTTTTGTGCTGCCCTAAGCAGGACAAAACTCAGGCACCCCCACCCCACCTTCTAAATACACACACTGTCAGACACATACACAGACAGAAACACACAAACACACACATAGTCACACACAAACACAGACACAAACACAGTCACACACACACAGTCAGACACAAACACACACACACAATAACTCACATTAACTTTTTTTTAAAATTTAACCCCCCCCCAACCTCCTTAACGTTGGGAGTGCTGGGGGGAGTCTCTCTCTCCCTGGTGGTCCAGTGGCTGCCGGTCGGACTGGGCGGCGCTGGCTGCTGGGCGGGCAGCTGGCGAGGGAACACTTCCTCTGAGCGGTCTGCTCAGCTCCCTCGTGCGCCGCAGAGTTTTGCTGGGAGCCGGAAGATGACGTCATATTCTGGCTCCCCGCCTCACTCTGTGGCGCGCGAGGGAGCTGAGCAGAGTGCTCAGAGGAAGAGCTCCCTCGCCAACGCCGGCCGCCCAGCAGCCAGCACTGTCTGCCCAGCCCGGCATGTCTGTTAGCCGCGAGGCTAACTAGGCATTTGCCCTGGGCATTTGGGGGCAGCGTTTTTTGCCGCCCCCTGAAAAATGCCGCCCAAGGCAAATGCCTTGTTTGGCTCGCGGCTAAAACGCCCCTTGTTAGCCTCGCGGCTAAAACCTGTGGAATGGTGTGTTTGCAAATGTCTCCATTTCCACAAGAAGAGAAGGAGAAGAAGTATTCTGGTAATGTTACTTCAGTCCCATATTTCAGGGTGCAAATGTAATTGAATTACTTCTATTAGTATTATGCTATTATGTTTTGATATGTAAACCCATAGAATTCAAAGAGGGTGTACTTTGTTTTTCCTTTATGTTACTGTAACTTGAATTTACTTTGATAAACAAAACAAAAAAGCCTTGTGTCGGTGTCCTAATATTTCTGGACCTAACTTACCAATAGAGATGTCGCGAACCGTCCGCGAACATCTCGCAAACGGTTCGCCACGGTTCGCCACGAGCTGTTCGTGGCGAACTCCGGTCAGCTGACACGTCCCGGCCAATCTCCAGCAGACCCTCCCTCCCAGACCCTCCTACTTCCTGGACAGCATCCATGTTTCAACATGAGGGACATCGGCGCTGGACTCCGGTAAGTCACTGAAGGGGTTTTAACCTCTTCAGTAACTTGGGATGGAAGGTGGGTGGGAGAGGGGCACTACAAGATCATGGCACTGGAGAATCTCTTTAATAAGGATTGTATATACACAATTGAAAATATGATTAGATTGACTATAATGCTAGCAGTATATTCAATTTAATGTTACCATATGTTTATAATAGAAAATGAATTATTCCCTTTAGTGGTTGTTCATTCATTATTGTATTAGTGTTGGTTTGTATGCTTCACTTTTTTCTTAGTTTATCCTTGAGAATTCTGTAGTTAGTAGGGATTTAACCCTGCTCTCACCTGGATCTCTTGAAAGGCATGTAAATAAATGTTTGCAGTTCTGACTTCCAGCACTGCAAACAGCTCATCAAAAATTATGGAGCTACTAAAAATGTCCCCAGCTGACAGAGGGAAGAACCTGGTGAGTGCATGAAGTTAAAGCTGCTCACACCAAATCTGCAGGACATAAAGGCATAAAGGCAATAAAGTCCAGCATAGGTAGGACATAATGACACTTATTAACTTTGTTAAGTCGTGAAGTGTTTAAAAAATTAACCAAATAATGTCTATGCATTTACATTGATAGTCCAACCAAGTGTTTTGTCCCGCCATTATGCTGCTCCTTGTATGCCAGTATTTTCCTACACAAGATTTTTGCATTAGCAAGCAGACACTTAAAACCACCATCTGTTTCTTGAACAACATATATTTGATACCTTGCTCTATCTGCTAATCTTACGACTCTCCCCATCTCCACCTTCCTGGACTTCACCTGAATTCCATCTCCTTTCTATACTATCTACCGTATATACCATTCTTTGACCGTCTCTACCTACTCCTAATTTAAAGCCTCTCCCCCAGCAGATTCATGTGCTATCATGTCCTATGATGAACATTCAGTTATTGCTCATTTCATTGAAAAGCAGTTCTATGATAAGCTACATTTCAATAAATTTACTTATTAACAATTGAAAATAAATAATGTTTTTTATAAAGATTATGATGAGAAACCCCTAAGCCAGTAAACCCTTTATCTTTCCTTTTATTTCTGCATGTGTCATAAAACAAAAGAGAGAGTAGATAGTAAGAGCAACAAGATGAATAATAATAACATAACCATTGTATCTCAAACAGATTGTTTTGCCAGAAGTGTTAATACGCATGATAAACACGATAAGCTCTTTGTGGCTTTTGCTAGGTAGACTTCATTATTCCCTGCAAAGCAAATTATACAACACATTTTAGGATAATTCAAGCTAATACTAAATTTGCTAGATATAAAGCCTTTAGGTTATATTCTAGAACATATTCTATTTTTTTATAGAACATCATTAATGGTAAAGAAAAGTTATCTCCAAATAATACATGATCTGTTTGATGCATTATGTTAAATATTAAGTTCTGTCATCTATTTTCACAGCTTGAGTTGTAGGATATATTTGTTTTAATTTTTTTTTACAAATTACACCAAATTTCAATATTTTTAGGCAGAAAGATATTCAGGTTGCTTTAATTATGGTAGTATATCTCCTAAAATGTAAAAATGTAGATTTCTGGTAGATACTCTGTTGACATTTCCCAGCTAAAAAAAAGTTATAAATTAAGGTTTTGTTCCCTTGGTTATGATTATTGAAATAAATGAGCTAAATGGCAGCATTAAATGCCAACATTCTACAGGTGTGCTAAGACATTAGTGCTTAAAAAAAAAATGAAATGTCATCTCTCTGTCGAGGACTAACGCACTATATGTAAGAGCATTAAAATAAAACACCTTATGATATAAAAAATATTTTGTAGTTGGGAGGGAAATAACTAGCACCAATGGAATTAAGATTATAAACTCTGCCAAACAAGGACATTTTCAAAACCATTGCACTAGTTTATGGTTGTAGCAGTAAGACTGAGTTTTCATGCGGGCTTGTGTCATTTAGCTTTGTCAATTTACTTTGCCTGTTTCTTAGGAAATACAATTAGTTTATATTGCTTTAGAAATAGGAATTCTCTTCAGGTCAAGGAGTAAACTACACCCCACAGGTCTATTTTGCCAAATGCCATGTGCAGAGATGACATTGTATAGGTTTTGACTAAAGACCTATGACTAAATAAAAACAAAGCTTTACAAGTTGTATATCCTGTTATTAGAAATGCATTTAAGTGCTTGTTATTGTTGCGTTCATTTTTAAAGAAATTCCTAAAACGATTGCTAATTGTAAGTTTAGAGCATTGCAGCAAAACTTTGGTTGATTAAATAATTCCATCAGAATCAGTTTGTTTAGATAACAGTTTTGTTAAAGTGGCTCTGTGACCCTCCCCCCACCCAGGGGCGGACTGACCACTCGGGCACTTCGGTCATGGACCGAGAGCCCGAGGCAGTCAGGGGCCCGGCAGCACAGCCATGCTCCAGCTGGAGAGATCAGAGATCTCTCCAACTGGAACGGCAAAATAATAAAAAACTATTTAATCGATAGGTTGTGGGGCCCCTGATGCAGCGCGGGGCCCCCACAACCTACCGCTCTGCTAGTCATCCCCCCCCCCAATGAGACCTGGCAGCTTCACCTCCTCCCTGCCAGGTCTCCTGCTTCCTCTCCCATGAGGCTCTGTGTGATGGGAGAGGCGGGGCCAGGAAGTGACATCACTTCCTGTTTACTCCTCTCACACAGAGCCAAGGAGGGGAAGGAGCAGCAGCCTGGGACAGAAGAGGAAGCAGAGAGACAGGTAGGCACCAACCACCCCCTCCCCCCCCCCTCACTGTCACTAGTCACCCCCCTCACTGTCACCAGTCACCCCCCCACTGTCACTAGTCACCCCCCACTGTCACTAGTCACCCCCCCACTCTGTCACCCCCTCACTGTCACTAGTCACCCCCCCACTGTCACTAGTCATCCCCCCTCACTGTCACTAGTCACCCCCTCACTAGTCACCCCCCCATTACTGTCACCAGTCACCCCCCCTCTCTGTCACCAGTCACCCACTCCCTCACTCTGTCACTACTCACACCCTCCCTCACTCTGTCACTAGAGTGAGGGGATGACTGGTGACAGAGTGAGGGGATGACTGGTGACAGAGTGAGTTAGGGGGTGACTAGTGACAGAAGGAGGGATGGAGTAGTGACAGAGGGAGGTGGTGACTAATGACAGTCACCACCTCCCTCACTCTGTCACTAGTCACCCCTTCCCTCACTCTGTCACTAGTCACCCCCTCACTCTAGTGACAGTGAGGGAGGGTGTGACTAGTGACAGTGAGGGAGGGAAGTGGTGACTAGTTGACAGCGTTAGGGAGGGAAGGGGGTGACTAGTGACAGAGGGAGGGGTGACTAGGGACAGAGTGAGGGAGGTGGTGACTAGTGACAGTCACCACCTCCCTCACTCTGTCACTAGTCACCACCTCCCTCACTGTGTCACCCACTCCCTCCCTCACTCTGTCACCAGTCACCCCTTCCTTCCCTCTGTCACCAGTCACCCCTTCCTTCCCTCTGTCACCAGTCACCCCTTCCCTCACTCTGTCACTAGTCACCCCTTCCCTCACTCTGTCACTAGTCACCCCCCTCACTCTGTCACTGGTCACCCCCCTCACTCTGTCACTAGTCACCCCCTCACTCTAGTGAAAGAGTGAGGGAGGGTGTGACTAGTGACAGAGAGAGGGAGGGTGTGACTAGTGACAGAGTGAGAGGGAGGGGGTGACTAGTGACAGTCACCACCTCCTTCACTCTGTCACTAGTCACCCCCTCCCTCACTCTGTCACTAGTCACCCTCTCTCTCACTCTGTCACTAGTCACCCCCTCCCTCACTCTGTCACTAGAGTGAGGGGGTGACTAGTGACAGAGTGAGGGGGTGACAGAGTGAGGGAAGGGGATGACTGGTGACAGAGTGAGGGAGGGGGTGACTAGTGACAGAAGAAGGGAGGGAGTAGTGACAGAGGGAGGTGGTGACTAGTGACAGAGTGAGGGAGGTGGTGACTAGTAACAGTCACCACCTCCCTCACTCTGTCACTGGTCACCCCTTCCTTCCCTCACTCTGCCACTAGTCACCCCTTCCCTCACTCTGTCACTAGTAACCCCCTCACACTAGTGACAGATTGAGGGAGTGACAGAGAGAGGGAAGGGGGTGACTAGTGACAGAGTGAGGGAGGGGGTGACTGTCACTAGTCACCCCATCCCTCTCTCTGTCACTAATCACTCCCTCCTAACTCTGTCACTGTGTCACCCCCTCCCTCACTCTGTCACTAATCACCCCTCTGTCCTTAGTGACAGAGTGAGAGAGGGGGTGACTAGTGACAGAGTGAGGAAGGGGGTGACATAGTGAGGGAGGGGGTGACTAGTGACATAGTGATAGAGGTGGTGACTAGTGACAGAGTGAGGGAGGGGGTGACACAGTGACAGAGTTAGGGAGGGAGTGACTAGTGACAGAGAGAGGGATGGAGTGACTAGTGACAGTCACCCCCTCTCTCACTCTGTCACTAGTCACACCCTCTCTCACTCTGTCATTAGTCACCCCCTCTCTCACTCTGTCACCAGTCATGCCTTCCTTCCCTCACTCTGTCACCAGTCACCCCTTCCTTCCTTCACAATGACAGAGATAGGGAGGGAGTGACTAGTGACAGAGAGAGGGATGGGGTGACTAGTGACAGAGAGAAGGATGGGGTGACTAGTGACAGAGTGAGGAAGGGGGTGACTAGGGAGAGAGGGGGTGATTAGTGACAGAGGGAGGGGGTAACACAGTGACAGAGTAATGGGGTGACTAGTGACAGAGTGAGGGAGCGGGTGACACAGTGACAGAGTTAGGGAGGGAGTAACTAGTGACAGAGAGAGGGATGGGGTGACTAGTGACAGTCACCCCCCCCTCACTCTGTCACCAGTCATCCCCTCACTCTGTCACTAGTCACCCCTTCCCTCCCCCACTCTGCCACTAGTCACCCATTCCCTCACTCTGTCACTAGTCTCCCCCTCTCCTTCCCTCTGTCACTAGTCACCCACTCCCTCACTCTGTCACCAGTCACCCCCACTCAGTGTGTCTCCCCCTCACTCTGCCACCACTCAACCCCTCCCTCCCTCACTCTGCCACCAGGTACCCCCTCACTCTGCCACCTGTCACAACCTCCCACACTCTTCCACCTGTCACCTTCTCCCTCATACACTCTGTCACCTGTCACATATGCATTCACACAGACACTATATACAAAAAGCACATGTAGTCATCCAGACATGCACAAGTGCATTCACACAGACTCAAATACAAACATGCATTGATACACAGGTCTTCACAATACACACATCCAAAGGAATGCCGTATTATGAATTATATTTAACATTTATTAAAATGCACATATATTTGGCCTTCAAAGGGCCTGGGATCTAATTTTGCCCGGGGGCCCCAAAGGCTCTCAGTCCGCCCCTGCCCCCACCCCAATTAAAAAACAAAAACAAAAAAACACCCAATACAAATATCAGCATATAATAAAAGCCTTTATGGCATACTCATAAAGACTGTGTTGAAATGTTTTTGAAGATCTAATGCAAAGTATATCACAAGACAAAATAAGGACTACTTAGTCTTATGCTAAATGGCTAACTTGACAGAACTGGACAAAAGTCATTACTGTTAAGTTTCATCACCTCCCACAGCTGTGTGAATAAGGCATTGTCTCACTCACTACAAGACAAAATCTATGGAGGTTGCAGTACCTTCCACAGGTAAGTGCAACTCACCTCTGCAGAACTCCTTGGCCATCACTCCTTAACAGTGATGTCACCATCAGGGGTCTTTGCAAAATATATTTTGCTTCCTTAGGAAAAAAAAAAAAATATATATATATATATATATATATATATATATATATATATATATATATATGAATAACTTTACCATTTAACAGGTAAAACTGTTTACCTGAACATCTAAAATATCACTATAGAAATATTTTATGTACATTAGCATAATTTACAACAATAGCAATACATATTAAGATTCAAAAACTTTGCATATGGTAGGTGATGGGTTCTTGAGATAAACTTGTCTGATGATCTATAGAATGTTATGGTGGTAATAACCTCAATAATTTAAAAGCATATGGAATTATTCATCTGAAAGCATTTTAACACATCTTGAAAAGTCAAATGAAAAACAGTAAAGACTGGCAATTATAATGGCAAGTTTGCTGATTCATTCTTTCTTTGTGAATTTTGGAATAATTTATTCTGTAGAATTATGATGATAATACCTTAATAAAGCTATTTTATCAGGGTTTTTTGCAAGCTTGTCTCTATATCATTACTGATTGAGGTTGTTAATTGAAGAGAATTGCTGGTGTTCTGTGTCAAATAAGTTATGAGATTTGCATAAGGAGAAAGAGCCAGGTTACACCCACAAGTGCTGTTAACGTGCGTAGTGGAACTCTATGATGAACATACTACACTAATACAGATAATATAATAGGATAATATAAAACACTTTACTGCTTCATTTAACACACTGCTATATATGATTATTAAGGAATATTACATTCCAAATACTGGGAGTGAATAATTGATTTTAGCTAAAGCTTATCTCTTCTTTTGAAATATTCAAAACATTAAATTACCACGTATGAAATTTTGTAATTGGAAATATAAAAAAAGATAATGCAGAGTGAAAAGAAGTTGTTAAACACCATTCGATAGAGAAAACAAAAATTAAACAGGAAAGAAAGTAAAAGGCTATTGAAAACAAGAAATGTGAAAAATGAACCAGCTAAAGTAGAAAGTATGTAGAAGAAAGTTTAAGGAATGTCTGATTTAAAAAATTTCTAAATATATCTGACAGATTATTAAGGATATGAAAGGAAGTGTCAGGATCACCGCAGAATGAACAGTTCCCAGGTCACTTCTGTCTAGTGCAATGCCACCACTTGCTGTGATGCTTTTACAGGCTTTCACTCTTAGACTGAAGAGATCTAATTTTGCAGTCACCTGGTACTTACTGGCTAATTATCTAAACTCTACCAATTCTGTTTGCTTTAGCACTGTTCGTTGCATGTCAGCATTGTTCCACCATAAACATTGGAAACCAGTATCCAAATCACATCATTATAGAAATACCAGCAGCAACCCAGGTTATATGTATAAAAGACAATAGAACTATGATTTAGTAAGATAGAGAAAGACATTATTTTGTTGGACCCATGGAAAGCAGAAGAATTAGAGATTTATGCTGACATTATGTATTATAGCACAAATGCACCCTTAGTCATGATTGTCAGGATCATATCCCTTGCCTCTGGTTCTGAAACTTACCTTCATCATCCTCACCTGCCTGGATTAATTACAATTTTATAACATGACAGGAGCAGGGGTGGACTGACCAGTCTGGCACTTCGGACATAGTCCGAGGGCCCAGCCGGGAGGGGGGCCCACCGCCAGGGATGCCATTAGGGGGCCCGGCGGCAGGGCCGGATCGGCCCACTGGGGCCGCAGCATCTGGGGGCTAAGCAAGTAGGTGCCACCGGGTGGCCGGTCCAGTAGCAAACTCTGAGGGGGCCGGCCGCGTTCCACGCTGGAGCCGCGGGGCCAGGTAGCAGCCTCGCCGATCCAGCGGCACTCCTGTCCTCTCACTAACGCTGAGAGCTGAAGGAGGGAGGAGCATGTCTCTCTTTCATGCTCCCTTGCGGTTCCCACAATTCCCAGCACAGGATGCACAGTAGGCTGTGCTGGGAATTGTGGGAACCGCAAAGGAGCATGAGAGAGTGACATGCTCCTCCCTCCTTCCGTCCTCAGCCTTAGTGACAGGACAGGAGTGCCACTGGTCCGGTGAGGCTGCCACACGGCCCGGCGGCTCCAGCGTGGAAAGCGGCCGGCCCCCTCTTACTTCTGTCTGTAAATGGGAGGGGGGGGGAATAAAACAGAGAGGGGGAATAGATAAACGCATGAGAAGAAAGAGACAGTGGGAGAATAGAGAGACACAGGGGGAGGAGGGAGAAAGAGACAGAGGGGGAAGAATGAGACACAGGGGGAGAAAGAGGGGGAATAGAGAGGAGGGGAGACATGGACACAGAGGAGCAGTGAGGGGGAGAAAGAAACATACAGAGGGACTGGAGGGGAGACAAAAAGGCACACAGAGGGGTTGTATATAGGATCCAGGGGTGCAACATGGTAATTGTCTCCCCCCTCCCCTGCCGGACGATCTCTCTCCCCAGTCCGCAGGCAGCTGGCAGGGGAGGAAGGAAGAGAGGACCCGGGAGCTCAGCCTGCAGCTCCTCTTGGTCCTTCTTGAGCGAGCAAAGAGCTGCGGGCTAGAGTTCACTCTCAACACTGTGACCACCAGGGATTCCTGGTGAACTCTAGCCCCATAAACACACTGCCCCCACACACACACCATACACATTCACACACTGACCCCATACACACACACACTGGCCCTACACACACCATACACATTTACACACATTGTCTCACACCCACACATACACTGCCCACCCATACACACACAGACCCAGTGGTGTATCCTGGTTTTGTGCTGCCCTAGGCAGGACAAAACTCAGGCGCCCCCCTCCCCACCTTATAAATACACACACACAGTCAGACACAAACACACACACACAGTCAGACACAAACACACATACACACAGTCAGACACAAACACACACCTCAGTCACAAACACACACACAAACACACACACACACAGTCAGACACAAACACACACACACACAGTCAGACACACACACACACACACAGTCAGACACAAACACACACACACACACACACAAACACACACACACAGTCAGACACAAACACACAGTCAGACACAAACACACACACGGTCAGACACAAACACACACACATATAGTCAGACACAAACACACACAGAGTCAGACACAAACACACACACACACACAGTCAGACACAAACACACACAGTCAGACACAAACACACACAGTCAGACACAAACAATCACTCACATTAACTTTTTTTAATCCTCCTCCCCCCACCTCCTTACCTTTGGGAGTGCTGGGGGGGGGTCTCTCTCTCCCTGGTGGTCCAGTGGCTGCTGGGCAGCGCTGGCTGCTGTGCAGGCGGCTGGCGAGGGAGCTCTTCCTCTGAGCTGACTGCTCAGCTCCCTCGCGCGCCGCAGAGTGAGGGTGGGAGCTTGGTTGATGACGTCATATTCCGGCTCCCAGCCTCACTCGGCGCGCGAGGTAGCTGAGCAGTCAGCTCAGAGGAAGACCCCCCTCGCCACCGCCCGCACAGCGCCGCCCGCCCGGCATGTCAGTTAGCCGCAAGGCTAACAAGGCATTTGCCCTGGGCATTTGGGGGCGGCGTTTTTTGCCGCCCCCTTAAAAATGCCGCCCAAGGCAAATGCCTTGTTTGCCTCGCGGCTAATACTCCCCTGCACAGACCCCCATCCTAACATTGCCACACACATACACAGCCCCCTCATACACACATTGCCCCACACACCCTACACATTCACACACTACACCCCCCACAGACACTGAATCTTTCACACACACTGCACCCCTCACACATTGCACCACTGCTCCTATACCCTACTACAGCCCCATATCCCAGCAGACCCCAGGTAAGTTGTCAAACTGTTCTTAACTGGTTTCACTACTTACTATGGGAGGGGTCCCGGCCCTCCTGGCACCATAACCACTACACAGAGCAGTAGTTATTGTGCATAGATTATTTCTTTAAATAATCTACATGTGCCCCAGTAGCCAGCAAGCCAGCCAGCCCACAGTCCTGCCAGCCAGCCCACAGGCCAGCCAGCCAACCCACAGGCCGGCCAGCCAGCCGGCCAGCCCATAGTCCACCAGCTAGCCAGCCCACAGGCCAGCCAGTCAGCCCACAAGCCAGCCAGTCAGCCCACAGGCCAGCCAGGCCAGCAGCCAGTCACAGGCCACTAGCCAGCCCACAGGCTTACAGCAAGCCACAGGCTTACAGCCAGCAATCCCACAGCCTGCCAGTCATAGCCAGCAAGCCACAGCCTGCCAGCAGCAGCCAGCAAGCCACAAACACAGCCTGCCAGCAAGCCACAGCCAGCAAGCCGCAGCCTGCCCGCCGCAGCCAGCAAGCCCACAGCCTTCCAGCAAGCCCACAGACTGCCAGCCAACAACAGTAATTAAGGTAAGAGGAGCCAACTTGGCCTAGGTATCAGCGAGCTATGTTGTGTTGTTATATTGTGAATAGGAACCAGAGTGTTGGAGAGACCCCCCTCCAGGCCCCATTAGACTCCATTGTAGTCTCTACTGGGGCCTGGAGGTGACTATTTCCAGCAGAGGCTATCTAATGGACGCTGAGATGGCCTCTGTTAGAAAGACCCCCTTCCAAGCCTTTTAGACTCTATTGTAGTCTCTAATGGGGCCTGGAGGGGATTCTTTTTAACACATTCTCTAAAGGACACTGAGATCTCTGCTAGAAAGACCCCCCTCCATGGCCCATTAGCCCTCAATTGTAGTCTCTACTGGGGCCTCGAAGGGATTATTACACTTTTGTTCCCTGTGTCTAAAGATTGTGTAGGGTGTGGCTGGAGGCGGGGCATGGAGGCGGGACAAGGGTGGCGCTTTCTGCGGAGCATGGGTGGGGCCTGTAAGGGGGCCCTTGATTTATTTTGCCTGGGGGCCCTGAGGGTTCTCAGTCCGCCCCTGGACAGGAGGCTTCCTATTTTGCATTAACTCTCTTTACTCCCTCTTTCTTTACTGGTCCATCGCAGACAGGTCAGACCTGGGTGCCATTACTATAGTGCCTATCAGTGACGTGTATCACAAGCCTACTCTATACTATGGAAGACTCCCAGAGTACCCCCGTGGACTTCCAGTCTATGATTAATGCAGCTGCCGCTGCTTCTGTGGAGAAGGCACTTTCCCATGTGCGAGCTACGGCTCCTGATTTACCCAATTCTTCCCGCAGACACCCACACCACAAGTCAGACTCTGACGTCTCAGACTACCATACCAGAGAGGATTCATGCCCAAGTAAACGCCACTGGAAAGGCGAGGGCAATACACCTAAACCATCCAAGGTTAAGGCACCTGCCAAACATAAAAAATCCTCCAAATTCAGTACCCCGACCCCGCGTCAGGATAACTCTTCTGAAGAAGACCAAGCATTGTCAAATTCCATGTCAGTTCTGGACGAGTGGCAGGCAGACCTATCCAACTCGGACTATGACGCTTGTGGTTCGGATGATAAGTCTATCTCCGCTTTTATACGTGAGACCCTCCTGGGTGCGGCACAGATGGAGAGGAGCGAGGGTCCTGCGCATGCAGACCGCCCACTTGACTCAGACAACATATTGGACCCTATGGGTCAGGCTATGTTTGATCCTCGCAACATACGCCACCCCAGATCAGGGGACTGGTCACCACCGTAGCACCTCTCTAGGTTCATGCACCTGTGGCTCCGCAAACCTCTGGACAATGAGGTACGTAGCCGACTTAGGTCGGAATGCCCATGCCCTTCCCTTACAGACAAGGTGGCTCAAACCCCTGAGTTTGACAAAGTTATGAAAACCTTCATGATGCGGAGTGGACGTGACCCTTGCAGAGGGGTGGAGAATTCTGCTAGATTCCGTAGGCCCCCTTTCCTGCATCATGTACTTGGCGGACGACTATGCCAAGGCCGATTCCTTTGCGGCCGACAACATCAGAGAATGGGCACATGACGTACGTGAGTGGGCACAGCGATGCTTTTGTTTAATTGGAAACACTAATATTACACTCTCTTCTGAGAGACGAAAAGCAGAACTATACCGTATTAACCCCTTAAGGACTGGACTGTTTTTGCGATGTTGTACATTTGCGACCAGGCATATTTTTACACTTTTGTGGTGTTTGTGTTTGGCTGTAATTTTCCGCTCCCTCATTTACTGTTCCCATACAAATTATATATTGTTTTTTTCAGGACAAAAGGGGCTTTCTTTACATACCATTATTTATATAATCTCATGTATTTTAATTTAAAAAAAATAAAAAAATCTGATGAAAAATTGAAAAAATACATGTTTTTTGACTTTTACTTGAAAAATCTTTTACTCATCTACAAAAGCAAATGAAAAAAACTGCTAAATAGATTCAAAATTTTGTCCTGAGTTTAAAAATACCTAGTGTTTACGTGCTTTTTTGCTTTTTTTGCATGTTATAGGGCTATAGGTACAAGTAGGATATTGCGGTTTCAAAACATACATTTTAAAAATTTATCAATAGTGACATTGTAACACTATTATCTGTCATAAATCTCTGAATAACACCCCACATGTACATATTTTTTTTAAAGTAGATAACCCAGGGTATTCAATATGGGGTATGTCCAGTCTTTTTTAGTAGCCACTTAGTCGAAAACACTGGCCAAAGTAAGCATTCATATTTGTGTGTGAAAAAAGTAAAAAAACTAAATTGAACGCTAATTTTGGCCAGTGTTTGTGACCAAGTGGTTACTAAAAAAGACTGGACATACCCCATTTGTAATACCTTGGGTTGTCTTCTTTTGCAAATGGTATGCCATCCTGGGGGTAATTCTCATTCCTGGGCTACCATACGCTCTCAAAGGCAACGTAACCAACCTGGCCATTTTCAATGTAAAAATATTTGACCCATATATTTAGCCTTGTAACTTTCAAAAATGCTATAAAACCTGTACATGGGGGGGTACTGTTTTACTCGGGAGACATCGCTGAACACAAATATTAGTGTTTAAAAACTGGAAAACGTATCACAACAATTATATCATCAGTAAAAGTGCTGTT